AGAGGCCGACCGGGAGTGAATTTACTTTTGTTAACTTATATACGGTGGTCTGGGGAATATGGTAGGAGAGGCAGAACTTCGACTATCAATTTTAATTTTCGGACGGCGAAAACATGTGAAACATGTGAACGGGCGTTGTCGTAGGGCAGTATCGGAACTCTTCTGTTGACCAGTGGCGGCTGCTGATGCAATTTTCGGTAGAATTCGTCGATTTTTCCACAAAAGGACTCAGCTGTGATGATTTGACCCGGTTGCAAAAAATTATAGTGAATCACACCAGGCGCTGACCACCAAACAGTAACCACGGTTGTTTTTGGTGGGTTTCCGCCTTTGGGAGGTGCCTGTGTGGCTGATCGTTGTCTAACCACTGTCCTGTACATCTCCTGGTGTTGTGGAGGATCCAGTTTTCATCATATGTGGCGAATAAATCCATAAAAGGATCGTTTTGGTTTCGCAAAAGCAACAACCATATACTTCGAAACGTGGCAATTTCGTAGATCGTTCAAGTCGTTGGGCACCCCACTTTTCGAGCTTCTTGATCTTTCCAATACGTTTCAAACCATCAAAACCGCAGGGGAGCTGACGCCCAGTTCTTCTGCCATCCCACGTACTGTTTGTGATGGGTCAGTCTCTACCAGGGCCTTTAAATCCTCGTTCTGGATTACTGTAGGTCGAACACTTCGGGGATTATCTTCGAGACTAAAATCATCGGAACGAAATTTCGCAAACCAACGTCGAACAGTGCGTTCATTAACACCATCATTGCCAAATGTCTGGTTGATTTTTCAGACTGTTTCGGTAGCGCTTTGGTTCAATTTGATTCGTAAAGAACAACTGGATGAGAATCGTAATAAGAGGCAAGAAATTCAAATTTGGAAAAATTAACAGCATCAATGTATAGAGTACATAATTCTCTATCGATTACCATAGCCGCGCTACAGTAGAATAAATATTTATTGAGATATGTAGCTACGTGAACCCATGACATTAAAAAAGACAAAATTTTTGAAACATCCTAAAACATCCTAATACAATAAAGTACTTTCAGACCCTTCCCATTTACAAAATGATAAAAAGAAAAAATCATCCCATATTCAAAAACTTTACCAGAAATCAAATCAGTATGATACCTTTGTTGAAGAGAGATACATATGCCAGGTAAATAAGTATTTCAAATTTGAAACCGACATATTCATCCAGCTTTTCTACAAAGTAGGATCCATAAAATCAGTCGAGGACAGGTTGTATTTCTGTCTTCGTTACTCTGTTCTGCACTGTTGGTGAATAATTCGGTTTGTAACGTAAAAGTGAGTTTCGTATGTTGTACATTCATATGAAATTCGTTGTTGCAATAGCATCTTTTCATTCGTGTAATTCAATGTTCATGTGATATTAGTTGTTTCGGGAGGGATTTTTCTTCCTGTTTTATCTGAAAGTAACTTCTATGGATGAACTATATATCTTTTTCACAATTTTTGTGTAAAGATGGATTAAAATATTACTTGTCAACTGTCATTTCTGTCACCTGTCATAATTGTCAAACATTTGACAAATTGTACCGATAGTGTTTTTTTATCTCATCTTTTTCAGTTCAAGCTTCAGACAAAATGGCAGTTCACTTCAGACTACAGGAATGAAGAAACTTTCATGTTTGTATTCTCAAACTTCTAAAGATGATAACGAATGTTGTTCTTCTAAATTTGATATATCGCTAGCTCCATCTACGTTGCCAATATTAATGTATCAATTTTCAAATAATCGTGAGTTGGACAAGTCATTTGGTGATCCTCGAAGGTATTTGGAGACGGATTTTTTTGGAAAAGGTTCTTCAAAAGAGGGTCTGATATTGTAGTGATATTCATAAAAAATCACGAAACAGAGCGAGTAAACTCAAGTTCAATAACCTGGCAGACCTGGAGGAATCCACCAGAAACGAAATTATTTGGTTGAATCCTGGCGCGATAATGCGAGTTGAAATTTGGCAAAAATAGCAGGAATCGAGTACGCGTTAATTGCCGCCTCGCGATAATCCTAGTCGGGGGCGGCCATGCGAGAAATGAGATCCAAGATTGGTTATCGACATTGTGGCCATTGGCTAGTCCGTTGCTCGGCAACCACATCTCGTTTTGTACCCAAAGGCCTGTTGTCGATATGATACGGCATCGGTAGCTTTTCTCTCTTACTTTCACATTCACCAAACAGGGCCGTGTTCCAGTGAAAATTCGCGGAACAACAAGATCCGAGATATAACGAATAAGTGTCTGTTATAGAAAAAAAAAAAAGATTGATATTTTGGAGATCTCTGACTTTACAATTAGAAGAACGTTACCATGTACCGTGTTAACAAAAGTTTATAAATATGTTGAAACTTGCAATTCAACTGTTTTACATGACATCTTGAAGGAGAGTTTCCAACATTTGGTGTTACTAAAATCAACGTTAACGCCTGCGTAAATAGCATTTTCGGCCACTGTTATCAAATCAGTTTAATTACGCTAAACCTTTAGGAAATATGACTAAAGTTATGAAACCGGGTTTGTCGAGTCGTGTAAAAAGCTACTATATAAATTGTAACAATTCAGTGACATGAAAATTCCCTGGATTATCAGAAAGTTAATTTGTTTTTAAAATTGATCTGCTAAGGAGAAATCAATTGCATTAGAAGTGTCTAGATGAAACTTGATAAATGATGTAGATATTTTTTTATTCTGCGAAAGTGAAGCTAAAACCAGTAGCAGCTGCCTTTTCATTGATTTTTCCAAAAGAATATATTGTGGCACAAAGTTTTCCATTTTGAAGATAAAGTAATCTAAAGAACGGTAGAAGAAACTATCAAGAGCAGATAGTTGTTGGTTCACAGATGGATCAAAAACACCTTCCGGTTCTGGGGCAGGTGTTTTCAGTCGCAGACCCAGGACAGAGATATCGACCTGCTTAGGAACCTATGTGACTGTATTTCAAGCGGAAATTTACGATACGCTTATACACAAGTCAATAAAAGTATTATTGTTATTGGCTCCTATCGAGCAACGTTTAAATTGGTAGTAAATTGACAAAAACGACTCTCCTAGATAGGAAGACTTAACAGATTGTCCCTGTTCTGGATTCCTGGCCATACTGGCCTGGAAGGCAATGAGGCTGCTGACTCCCTTGCAAAGGAGAGTGCTGCAAGCAGCTTTATCGGACCAGAACATGTCATTGAAATCGCTTTAGGCTTTGCCAAACAAATATTGAACACCTGGATAGCAAGAAAGATGTTGGACTTCTGGCAGAATCTTCTAGGATTGGCTCATTATAAGGCGTTTATTCACCCTTCGAAGTTTGATAACAAACAGTTGTTGGACTACAGTAGGGATGTACTACCATGTCTAACAGGCCTTCTTACAGGTCACCGTCATTTGAATCATCATATGCAGAGACTCGGGGTGTCGGAAAACAGTGTGTGTCGCCTCTGTTTGGAAAATGATAAAACAGCAGAGCACATAATTTGTGCTTGCCCCGCTGGGGACCGAATTAGGTTTTTAGAGTTCGGCAGAGCCGTACTTTTACTAAATAACAACTGATGCTATATGCACGTTATGAAATACTGGCAGTTCAAGGTGACTGACATTCGACAGGCTCAACACTTTCGTGAAACATTCAGACCAGATCTAGTGATTTCGGTTCACTGCTTGGCCTGGAAATTAAAACACACGAGAGCCGCACTCAACTGGTATCCGAAGTAAATGTTCGATACACCAGATAAAATGTTCCATATAATCCCAGTACATTGTTAAAACTCGTTTCGCTATAGAATTTTTCATTAGAAGTATGTTTCAACTGTTTTCATAATTATATCTACCTCTTTACTAGGTTAGGTTATGTCCAAAGTGAGTGGGTCCATTCGACCTCCACCGCAACCCGCAAGGGTTTATTGTGACTTACACCTATTCACACTCGGCCAAATAAACCCAGCTTCTTAACGAAGCAAATTAGTTTGTATGGTGAGTGGTCATCTTCTTGATGGGTTTGAAAACCGTTTTGATGTTGTGTTTCCACCAAACCACATCTATGTATCTATATACTGTGATCTCATTTTCAACTGCTGTTCGGACATTTTCCACACAATACATTTTTTCCTTATGTAGTTTTCTACTCATGAATATGTGGACTTGAATGACGTCAATCATGTAATCCTTTTTGAGCATCAGTAAGAGCTGGTCTTACCTGGTTAGTCGATAAATAACTGAAAAGTATAAACGGGATGTTATACGTCTCTTTTTCACCAACTATCGCCTGGGTACTACAATTTTGCAATGGCTCATCTTTTTTTGTGAAATAATGCATATGAAATTTTCATCATCAGTTTGAGAATTTTTTTTTTTGATCGGGTTCGTTCCCGACAAGGAAACGGTGAATGGAGTTAGTTGAAGGTGATTATGAAACAGAATAATTTGTGTTTAACAATTATAATTCAAGAACTTAGTCTAACGGTGGATAATGTCAAATCTTTCTGGTTTGGCCTGACTGAGCTACTTTTATTCTCTATCCCTGAATGGTTATCAGACTCAAACCTATTGGGAATGTGTGAAATGTCATTAGGTATATTCCCCTCCTGTCTATTTTCTGCCTGTGTGACTGACCACTTTCTTATCGAATTTCCTATTTTTTTTGGTTCTGGATGGGAGTTTTGTTTGACCTCTAAGTACCGTCTACCCGCTATTCGAATCCCTGTTGGAGTGGTTCGAATTCCCTTGACAAACTTCATAGAATAGGTCGCGTCTTAAGCAATACACGCCTTAAAAATTATTTAGGTATTATTTAGGTAGACCTACTCACGCCAGAGACAAAGATTCTTCTTTGGATCAACAGCAATGTGCCTATCTTTCGTCAAACACATGACTCAATTTTTGGGGCAAGCATAGTATACGTGAAAAAATGTACTTTTAAGTGAATTTTGGAAAACATTCTGGTATCGTACAAACTAACCAATTGGAAACATAAAAAAAGCAAATAATTACCTATGATGATCGGGCAGTTCTTGTTTCGGACCAGGAGTCACAATAGCGGGATGCGAAGAGAGATGCGGCGGGTGAGGAGACAATCCAGGATGCGGCTGTATCAACCCGGTTGGCGAAAACCGATAAAAATCGCTCGGCAGGCTGCTCGTCGTGATCGGTAACGTGCTCGGGTATGGACTTCGAAACCCCGCGCCGGGCGACAGAGGGTACATGCTTGGTGTGTGCCTGAAATTATCATATGATTTTCGTGATACGGGAAACATAGTGATTTATAATCTGTTCGAAGGATCAATCTAAAATTTTCATGTTAACAAATATTTGAATAAGTCCTGAAAAGTAGAACTGCAACTTCTGACGTAGAAATAAATCCAAAACGAATTCTACTCCTACACATCTTCTTGACGTGCTTTTCTCCACCAAGTTGGCATCATCAGGAGATGAACTATACTTAGTATAGGATCCGATTTGCAATGGAACAAATTCACTAATGAATACATGGTGGATCCGTCTCACTGGTATGAAATAAAGGAAACATAGTAATAGAAGAGTAATTCATTCAACAGAAATTCACAAAATAACAACACCACATATGACAAAATGGTTTAGACTTTCACGGCTGAGGTTTTCAGTGTCGTTGCTTTTCGAGTTTGAAAGCCGTGGGTTTTGGGAATTTCTTCCTGACGTTTCGCTGGCGCGAGTGGCTAGCTTCTTCAGAGGTTTAACCATCATTGCTTGCTGTTCGATGACTACCATCATCACCACATATGATGGATTATAGAGATAATACACGGACACAAACAATTTTATTTCATGAAAAATTTCGTTCCTTTCGTTTCTTTATCCCACGGGACAATTAGCAAAAAGAACAACAGTTTCAAGAGCTGCCAATGCAATAAATGACATGAAACTGAATGTTAACTGAATTTGATGAAAACCGTGCATATTTAAAGTAATGAAGCAGTCCCAATGTTCAATGTTAGCCATTTATAGATTATTCGAGCATTAAAAGTGAATAAAATGCATCCCTATGAAATGATACCAACTCAGCAGCTCAAAAACGATTTTATAAGAAGAACGTATATTTTTGAGCAACTGATAAAAATATCACATAGCAATGTGGTTCAATTCCAACATGTTTTTGTTTGTTTGATGAGTGCAAATTTCACGGTTATGTTAATCGTCAAAACAAACACTGTCCAGCAAAAATCCTCACTGAACAAAAAACGAACATAGCCAATACCCTGAAAGGCGCAAGGTTTGGCCAGGATTTGTTGGAGATCATACCATAGATGTTAAATTTGACAAACTTATATTTCCATCTAGGAAAATCACAAGTTTGAGCGAATATAATATGGTATCAGAAAGATGGAGGACCACCCCATTACCAAATTCATGTTCGGCTGTTCCTCAATCCTCAGATGGAATGATCAGCATATCCTCCCGATCTGATGTCATTAGATTTCTTATAATGATATGTCAAAAGTATTGTAATGCAAAACCTAACCCATCGATTTGGCTGACTTGAGAAGACGATTAACGCGTCCGCATTTATTCATTATCGAATTTATTCCAGACTGATATATGTAGGTATAGTAAATGACGCCAACACCAAGAATGTTGTGGTCTGGTGTTTTGGAAATATTGAAGTAAAAATGTAAAGATGTGGGTGAATGTGTCGAGGAAAATGAATGCATTACGAAAATCTATGATTCAAATAACTTACGACAGATTAATCTCATTAAACTATTATTCACAGAAGAGGTTGGTAAATTCCCTTGATAAAATAACTGCTTTTTGGATAGTACCCCATCGGATATAGAATTAAGTTTATTACAAAAGTTTCACGTGCTCTCTATTTCACTTTTTTGAAGACAAAACAAAAGCACTACAGGAAAATTCTTGAGGCGTTCTAAGAGCGGTGCCTTTGCGAAAGTAGCGATTCACAGTGGATTTGAATCGCTGGAGATTGAATCCATTTGAAAAAACTTTCTTCAGTTGTCCAAATGAAAGAGTTCTTAAACAGTAAAGTTCGAGGTGTACTAAGTTGAACTTCAAAATGATGAGCAGCCACAATCCGTCGCGTATTTCTGATAGGTATCGCTCTTGGTGGAATCAAATGTGCCAAGTCACTTGAACACTTCCCGTGAAAGAATCTATAGAAGAGAAACAAATCCCCAACCTTTCTTCGATGTTCCAGACTTTCAAGGTTGCAAGTGATGTTCGCGTCTCCAGACAGGCGGATGGCTCTTTCCTGGATGGAATCCAACAGCTTCGGGGTGTGCTTAGGGGCGCAGCTCCATACATAAGAACAATACTCCGAAGTAGGTCTAATCTGAGCTTTATGAAGCATCAAAAGTTGCTGAAGTGTGTACTGTTTTCTGCTACGGAACAGTGTTTCAAAAGCATGGAATTTGCTGAACCTAAACCGAGTGATCATCTACAAACTGATTTCCTTTCATCAAATATACATTTTTGATTCATCTACACGAATGAAAAAATGTAGTTTACAAATTTCATCTCCTCTTCTAGATTAACCTAAACATATCATGTATTCTACAAGACTTCTTTCATTCTCTGCTTGATAGCCGTCATTACATCTTTCCTTTGTAGCCACTTTGTTGAACTCCCTACAGCTAAGCACTGTTATAAAGCCCTACTTTATTCATTGGTCCCTGTAATTATTTTGAGTTGATTCCTAGGGTAGGGATAAGGATCAATATATTCATAGAAAAATAATGCTGATGTAATAATTGCAACTTTGAACTTACCAACTTGCCACCTGTGACATTTCTGGGCTGAGAATTGGGTAGGGGTACTGGCCAGCAGAAAAGGGGTACATCGGGGGTCGGGTGAGTCCTGAAAAGACAATAGATTTAATAGATATCTAAATAATATTTTCATTATGAATTCATTTCAAAACAGAATATGAATAAAAAATTGAATATTCAACAAACCATTATTGAATTTTTGAAGGCTATTAGAAGTTGCATTACACTGAGAACCAGTTTGAAGTGTAATAATGTGTCATTTATATATTTATTTGTGATTCAAATGCTGCCAAATTCACTAAATCAACTGGCCTACAAAATATGTTTCATTCACTGACTCGCTTCAGAACAAATTACGATTCAGTTGTATCTTTCAAATGTTATGTTTCAATACCAAAAAATTACCAAAAAATATTTTTTTCGAATGTGAAAAAGTTGTGGGTAAAATAAAAATTTGCGCCTCAAATTTAACCAGAAGATCATAGTAGTCTCTTATCTATTTCAATTCGTGTTCTCAAGAAAGGGCACACTTTAAATTCTGCACTTTTTTTATTCCTTACTCATGTTCCATTTGTATTTTAATAAAGTTGTCCAGGACATTATTTAACCGGCAACGGTTGGAGAACATCAACATGGTAGGTTAGGTTAGGTTAGGTTCAAACAAATAGGTTCAAACTCTTGACAGTTCATCAACACGGTTTTCGAGTTGATAGATCTACCAATACTGCAGTAATTTCTTTTTTCGATACACTGTTTGAATTTTTGGAGGCAGGCGAGTGTCCTGTTGGGATTTTTTGTGATCTCAGCAGGGCATTCGACTGTGTCAATCATAATGCTTTGTTGTCAAAGTTATACTCATACGGCATTCGTGGTGTAGCACATTCCTGGATTTCATCATTTTTAGAAGATAGGCAGCAATATGTTACAATTAGTAACCACAGTACGAGTACGTATGATAAATGTAATTCAAGTTTGTTGAATATTTCAATGGGTGTTCCGCAAGAATCGGTATTAGGACCTATATTGTTCCTTTTATATGCAAATGATTTGGAATCACATATCAGGAATACTTCTTTAACAATGTATGCCGACGATACCTCTTTAATAGAATCTGACATGGATGAAAACTCACTTTTAGACAAAAGTAAATATACTTTGCAATATGTTATGAACTGGTGCGGAGCTAATTCTCCTCATCTCAATGCTAACAAAACACAGTTGGTTAGATTTCATAATCGAGAAAAACATTGCGTGCCTATTCAATTTCAAATTGAGAACATGTCAATTCTGGGAAAAAAACAGAGACAAATTTTTTGGAAACTACCATTAATGCATGTTTATGGAAACATTGTTTGAATTTAACGAGTAAAATTAATTAATTAGGTTATCTCTTAAGAAACATGAGACATGGTATATGTATGTGGGGTAACTCGACTTCGATATCAAATGTATTCGTTGCGCAGAAGTTTATTTTGAGAATAATGGCCAAAGCCTCATTAATCAAGCATCGCCAACCTAAGAGTCTATGAAAAATATGAAAAACTAAATTTTGAGAAAATAACCATCATGGAAATGAATATATATCCAACAGATGAAAACGTAGATTTGACATTGGTAATTATCGATAAAATGATTCTTCACTGAATGCAAATTAAACGCATTGAAAAAAGTACGGGAACAACCATACATTACCCTTCAAATATCAGCATGTTTGCATGTTTTGAAAACGAAGAACCATTATGACATACATCGAAATGAAATATATGCAATTTGAAAATAAGTGGGCGTTATAAACGTTTTACTGCAAACGAAGGTTATAATTTTCAGGACATTGACTGGGACGTATATGAAACTTTCATTCAATAACGTTTTCTGAATAAAACAAGATTATCAATTATACCTGTGAAATGGGGTGTACCATGATCAGTACTCGTCAAGTCGAAGACATTTTTACATAAAACTTTAACAAAATATTGATAGAAATATTCAATTTTCTGCTAAAATATTCCAACATTTCTGAGTTGAACCAGCCATTCAACTTGAAAAAAATAGAACATTTCTCGATGGAGCAATATGAATATTGACAAAATCATGCATGGCCATTTCCCAGAAGCGAAAGAATAAAAAAGTTGATGATAAGTTTGAGAAACTGAGTAAATACAAACAATTTTAATTGTGAAAATTTACATTGAAAAGAGTTTTATTGATAAACACGTAATATGAAGTAATGAAATAATGTGCAAGAAGCTTTCAAGTACTATCAACATGAGGTTGTCAAGGATACTTACGATGAATTAGTAAGAGTTTATATTTACTTATGATGCACTGTTTGGAACCTTTGATGTGGTAATGAATATTACTGGAGTTTTAACACATCGACACGTGTTTCGATTACCAAGTGATCATCTTCAAGAGGAAGATTAAACAATTTAATCTTCCTCTTGAACAATTTAATCTTCCTATAGCAACACTATCTAAATTCTTCATAGTCAATGCTTAATACATCTAACTTTTCACATATAGTCAGTGGGCATACTGATGGGTATGTGGTTGATGATATACACTACCTTGCACTGACGAGTGGTCAAACAGCCCGAAACCGGTCTGCAAGTGTGTTCCAATAAATTGAAAATATATCGCGGCAGTTGTATCGCCAACAGCATGTGCAGGAATAACTTCAGTGAAGATATAATCTTCGCCTTTCGGATATAATCCAACACCCTTCGTGGTATTAGCCAGGGGAGTAGTGTCAGTCAATTAACCTACAGTGTAAGGAGTTGAGATTGGCATGAACGAATTGTTCTTTTAGATGATTTAATACATCTAGTTTTACATTTTGAAGTACCTACATTTCAAGTTCCTGAGTTTTACCTAGCCATTTAATGTTTCATGTGTACCTGAGATTGTAATGAATGAAATGACCTGAGCTCATTTATCAGTTTCCACATTCGAAATAATATTAAGTAACGTAGAATTATTCAATTCTATTCGGTCATTCAGTAATTTACCCGAATTCTTATCTATTTATTTCTAGACATTCTAGAAGATTGAGTTTCAAACTTTCCTCTTTTAAACGTAACACGTCGTATTCATGATTGATTTGCAAATGTGGAATGGTCTTTAATTCTTAGGGAAAAGTTTTCCCTGTTTGGCCAATATACAATTTTGGGCAAAAGCCATAGGCTAGGTTATATACTTGATCCACCCGATACCGAAGTTTTGTCTTTATTGTTGTTATTAATAAATTTACCTTGACTTTTAGTCGTTCTGTCAGCTACGTCTACGCATTTTCTTTTTATCAAAAAAGTAATTCAATAAATAAATTAACCCAATTACCGTTTTATTCGGAGGATAGAAGCTGACTAACATTTCTTTTAAACTTCCGCGAATTCGTAAGCCTGACAACTCAGAAATTTAAATTTTACGATGCTGATTACGTCATGTAACGTAAATAATATCGAAAAACGAAATGGGAAAACTTGATGCAGTGAGACTGAGGTTCTCAAAAACATAGTTATTGAAACCTACAAGTTTGAATTTGCCCTCTATAGAAAACGGCATATCTATTTCAGCCAACCTAGGTATTTTTTTCTGCTTCCATTTTCTCAAGTCTCCGGTAAACACAGCATCCTCGTGTATTTATATTTTCCTCTCTAGGACACAAAACAATCGTATTAGTGTATATACTATTTATTGGATGTCCCATTTTTCTGGATATACATTACTTTCATCCTTTGATACAATGCTAAGGTGACCGTTATTCAGACCTATTTTGTTCAGGTGTTCTCTAAATGGAAAATGTCAAGTGATTGGTCGTGTACTTATTCTGAGTCAATTCCTGCTCATGAATGTCAGTTAATAGATACCCAACATATCCAGATCAATCATGATTTTAGTTTTGGGTTGATCATTATATAAACACTCTGTATTTATATGCATGCTGTAATGCTGAAATCTCTTTTTAGCATTTTGGTAATTTTTTAGTTATATGTTTGCAAGTTGTTTCGTTACCACATTATTATAATTTTTTTTTCGTCGAATATAATGAAGAATAGTTTGAAGATGAGTAGCTCTGTTATGAACAATGATCCCTAATTCCATCAAATCGTTCTTAGAAATAATCTGAAATCACAAGTTGTATAATTTAACGCATTCAAATTCTGATGTTCTTATAGCAAGCACGTTAAATAATAATAATAATCATGTTTATTCACTAAGAAAAAAGTACTAATGTCACGGAACTCGGAACATAAGTAAACAGAACAGCACGCCTCTAAAATATGTCATCTTTGTTTGTCTCATTCAGGTAACAGATTCATTGTCCTTTATTAGCTATAACCGATGTTGCCAACTGGTGAAATAGAAACGAATCCCTTTAAATGTTAAATGCATTATTTCATTCCTCTTTTTTGAGTATTCAAATATTTTTTTAAAGAGAAAGGTTGAAATGATAAGTTCAAAATGCGTTGTTTTAGAGCTCTTTTATGAAAACTACTTGATTTTCGTCAGGAGGAACATGAGGTCTCTGTCCTATTGTTTTAAATGCGAATGGTACTATGTATTTGTTTTTGTGTCTTGTAGTATATGTATGGTTGGGTCTGGTGAATTTTGGCTTTTCTTTATATTGATCAATGTAAGGGTTTTGAAAAACAGTTACCTCACATCGAAAATTTCTGATTCTTTATATAATTCGTCATTGTTGTATCTTTGTGGTTTATTCAGCATCAGTTTTATGAATTTTCTCTGGATAACTTCCAGAGGGTACCAGTGGGTTTTGGACACTTCTCCCCATCCAATAATGCAATATATTAAATGGCTTTGCACAAGGTCCATTAGTCATTGGACCCCACTGGATGTATATCCGGATAACCTTCAATCTTAATGGGTTAGCCAGTTCAAATTTCATTCTTCTCAGTCGTAGGGGGGTGTGAGGGAAACTGATGGTCCATAGCGATGATTTAGAACCCAAGTTCTATACCCCTAAATGGAGAAAGCTGAAATATATGATTTTTTATTCTTTTGTTTCAGGATGTCTTTGAGGTGTCGGAACTTGAATAGGATACTTCTTAATTTTTTCACTAGATAGTT